ACATGTGAACAGGTAGATAACTCTCGAGGGAGAGCGACCTGTCGATGTTGTATTCGAGTTGACACCGGAGACAGCGTTCGCATAAATGCAGACAGTCGATGGACGTAGTCTGATTTACCGAAATTAGGTCTGCTCCGTGGTGTGAAGAATTCTCCGGGCAGACGCAATGTCGTGCCGTATACAAGTTCAGTGGCGGAACATTGGATATCTGCCTTTAAGCTCGTTCTGATCCCTAAAAGAACGAGCGGTAAGGTTTCGTGCCAGTTGCCGTTTTCGTGTGCTCGTAGAACACTTTTAAGTTGGCAGTGAAACCGTTTACTTAACCATTTGGTGCTGGGTGGTAGACGGATATGCTTATGCGTATGCATTCCGTACCAAGCAGCCGGGTCAGCGAGGAGAATAGTTAATAGGGGAAAATTTCTCGAATAAAGCGTGGAATTCATCGTCACGCGAATAAAAAGTAACAAGGATTCGGTACACATACATGTGAGTCTATTATATTAATACTATTCTTATCGTTATCCGTCATGTCGCGTATATTATATATTAAAAAATATGAAAATATACGACAGACGTGGATAGATAAATCATAGACTCACCGAATTGGCTTCTTTGGAAGATTTGACCAGATGTTGAGGCGTGTTCCAAACTTTGGGATCACCAATTGTAGCGAAGGGCTCACCAATTGTAGCGTGGCGTCGAGTTGAGGTTAACTATGAACACCGCTACCAAGAAACACGTGCCAAATAGATCAGAAGGCGAGGGTTGAACGTAACCAGATAAATCCATAAAATCCCCGAGAAGCCAAATATCAGAAGGCAGTTAATGGACCAAGTCGAGGTGTATATTTGCTGGCGATCTCGTGGCATCGAAAGGATACCGAGATCGTGCCAGGATACAACCTTGGTTACAGAAGGTAACCGAATTCGCGCGAAGTTACAATCGAAGTGTGTGTAAAAGAATGGAAGCAAAATCAAGCTGTCATTAGCACAGTCAAACAAAAGCAGATTAAAATAAACACTGGTACAGTTGGTTATAATAATAATTGTTTTTATTAAACCAGTCGTGTTCTCGTGATAAATGTGAGTCACTACAATATATTCAACAATTCCATAACAGGCTCCATCGCGATGCCAATGTGATAATCAACAGTGTTTGAATTATAGCATAAACTAAGAATCCCATAAAGAACGTATTCGGATCAAGAACTACTAGATAACCACAAAGGAATGAACTGTATTTAGAATTCGAAATCAAGCACTCAACAAGTACAATGGTGTCATCAGTTCATTCAAACACCAAAGTTAAGTGGGGCTGGTCGATTCAAGAGTTCTTTGAAGTGTTCTACCCACCTGTTTCGTTGCTCTTCGATGTTGGTGAGTACCTTGCCTTCCTTGCTTTTCACTGGTCGTTCTGGTTTGCGGCCATTTCCAGAGAGTTTCTCTGTCGTGTCATACAATTGTCTCATGTTTCCTTCTCTTGCAGCCTTTTCCACATATTTACGTTTGTCAGTTCTGATGCTCCTCTTCACTTGTTTGTTTACTTCTGTGTATTCAGCTTGTGCCTTGGCTTTTTCTGCTATTGTTCGACTGGTATTGATTACTGCTTTCTTGTTCCTCCTTCCTTGAATCTTATCCAGTGTATCAACGGTGATCCATTCCTTACGGTGGTGCTTCTTGTGGCCCAGAACCTCATTGCATGTTGAAGTGATTGCCTCTTTGATCCCCCTCCAGTTGCTCCCCATAGTAGTTCCTTCTTCATCGAGTAGATCATGAAAGGCCTGGAATTTATTGCTGAGGGCTATCTTGAGTTCGTTGAGTCTGTCAGTATCCTGAAGAAAGCCGTATTAAACTTTTGTGATATTGTCCGCCCCGTTGTCCATTACTTCTTGAGTTTCAATTTCATCTTAGCGGCCAGCAAGTGATGGTTTGATGCTATATCAGCTTCTCTCTTGATTCTCACCCCTTCTGTCGTTCTCCTGAACTTTTTGTTGATGCATATATGGTCGATTTTGTTTTGCGTAGTGTGATCCGGTGAAGTCCACAAGATTTCGTGAATGCGTTTATGTGGGAATATGATGTCGCCTATGACCAGTTTATTGAAGGCAAATAGGTTTGCAAATCTCTCACCATTTTCGTTTCTTTCTCCCAGTCTGTGTCGTCCCATGATGTCTTCATATCCAGTGTTGTCCGTTCCAACCTTGACATTGAAATCTCCCATCAGAATGGTCAGGTCCTTTGTTGGGCACTTCTCGATGATTGACTGCAGCCTATCGTAGAATTATTCTTTAGCATCTTCATTGTAGTCGTTGGTAGGCGCATAACATTGGATGATGTTCATTGAAATGCCCTCTTTCTTTGTTTTGAAGGAGGCTTTGATGATGCTTGGTCCATGAGATTCCCTTCGTATAAGTGCCTTTTGTGCTTGTTTGGACAGCATCAATGCAACTCCTTGTGTATGTGGGGCATTTTCTTCATCATGGCCGGAATATAACGGAAGCTCCCTTGAAGCTAGTCGTTGTTGTCCAACGTGTTTCACTGATCCCATGCACCTCTAGGTTGTATCTCCTCATTTCTGCAGCAATTTGGAAGACTCTCCCGGTCTCCCACATTGTACGAGTATTCCACATACCTAAGTAAGTGGTTGATCTGGCTGTCAGAACGGGGCATCGGCCTCGTAACTTCCGAAGGAATTCGGCTTTCATCATGAGGCGTCATAGTTCTTCTAAAAGAAGACCTGCTGACTCCCAGGGCAGAGTTCAAATGGTTTAAGAAATTTTTCTGGTTAGCGTTTTTTCAGAGAGTCAGTGTTCTACGGGATGTGGTCGCCAACCACATGCTCAACCCTCCTCCTTTATCCTGTCTTGGGACCGGCAGTAGCCCCCGAAGGGACTCCAGTTGGAATTAATTAGTTAATATATGTGATCAGTTTTTTACTATAGATCGAACTAGTAAATAATGAGAACTGATCAATATAACATTACGATAATACATGTGAGCATTAATCAGAGGACTGTTAGAATAATGGGTTTACACAAAATTAATCGATCGAGAAAGTTAAAGCGTAAATACGGATTAACAACTTTAGGTTGCGTTTCTTTAGTTGGGCTTATCAATGGTCTACCATGATATCAGTACTGCTCTAATAATAGACCTAATCCTATAATTGTAGATTTGTCATGATATAACTCCCTAATCTATAAGTTCTTACGTGGAACTCACATCCTCCTCTACACCAACTCACTACATCATAACAATTACCAACATATGATAGAGAACAAACTTAGGCTATGGATAGAACAGTATATTTAATACAGATAAAAGATATAAGGTAAAATTCAGAAGGAACCATACGATCAACTCTAATTCATTCAACTCATTGTCCCCGCCTTTTCCATCGTTGGGTATTTCTCCGCGTTAAATATTGAGTATCTGTTTTCCGAGTAGTCTCGTGTTCAGCCTTGAGGATTATTTGGTTATGGTCCAATGACACTACAACTTCTCCTGGCCCGTATATGGTCCATTCCGCCAAACTGACGGAAGCAGCTTCAATCGTGACAACACCGCTTATCGTGATGCTCTCACATTCTCTAAGACAAGGTAGGGTACCAGAAAAGCAGGCAGTGGCTCACGTCAGACTGATCTTTAAAAAACACCGACGTAGCAAACCTCGAAGCAACAGGCCTGTAACACTTCTCTCAATACCATCAAAAACTATGGCATACGTGAGTACTTACTATCCACCAACTACCTTCCAGCCCAATAGCATGGTTTCAGGAACTGTCATTCTTGTATGACCAACCAGCTGACCGTGGGGAACAGACGGACAACTTACTTTGATCACAAGGGGAAGGCTGATGTCAAATACTTTGACTTCTGACATCTTTTGATAGGGTCAACCAAATATGTCTTAACAATGGGCCCAAACGATTAGGTTGATTTCTCTAAGGTTATGAAATGTCATAGTGGGTCCCCCAGTGTTCAGTGCCAGGACCCGCTTTTTTCATTGATATTAATAATCCTCCATAACAAGTATAGTCGGATTTGTTACTTTTAGTTAGTGAGGTGAAGCTCCGTAGAAAAGTTTGCAATGAGGATTATAAGCCTGCACTTAAGGAGGATCTGACTTAACTTCAAAGTTGTACGGGCAACAATGGGATTACCTTAAACATTTCAAAGTGTAAAGAAGTATATCTAGCACGTTACAGACTACGAATACAACAGGTAAATCCTTTCCAAACGTATCGTAAGTTGAAAAGGATATAAGAATTTTTCACCTAGTCTTCAACACTTTCATTCGACCTCATCTAGTGCATAGATACATAGTATTTTTCCCCCACTCCAAAAGGATAAGGACACATCATAATATATCCAATGGCGAGTCACGATATCAGATCGAGGACTCAAAATCAAACCTTATCAAGAGAGTACCAAATCACTGAACCTTTACATATTTGAGTATAGACAACCTAGAGATAACCTTCTAATGACTTACAGCATCACTTTAACCACTTATTTAAGCTCAATCACAATACAAATCTTAGGGGTAACACTTTGAAACTGGAGACACAACACGGAGGAACGGACTATAGGCACACCTCATTAAGAGTGGAATTTGTTGCTGACCGAGCTAGTCCAAGAGACTTCTCAGGAGTCCAATGAGAGAAAACTCGGCACATTCTTGGGGAACGAGGAGAGCGTTTCACTATGATTTACTATTTTCCTTTCCCTTCTACCGTTAAATATACATAGGTTCTTAACTAGCACGATCGGTGATCCACTGTCACTAGACACGGAATCCTGCCCAGCGATCGCCTATTCTGTTTTCCTTAAAACTATTTGAAACCATTTAAAATAATTTACCAAGTATTTTCGTGGAAACTATTTCAGATTCCGCAGTTTTGTTTTTCCATTTGGAATACCTGATAACAATTATGACCTTGATTGCTGTTATAAGCGGAGAACTTTCAAAACTCGACATATGTAGGCACTCGTAAACAAATGGTTAAGGGGATTGCTGTCCTTTTTGAATATGAAACGCCAAAACTTGTACAGATTTCCAACATTAAAATTGGAGTTACTCAACGCCTACTTCAATTGGTTATTCTTATATATGTCGTTTGGTAAATTGTTATTAAAACTGATGGTTGTTTATTTAAAACAGCTGGGTTATGATTTATGAGAAGGGATATCAAGAGAATGATATAGCTAAAAGTGCAGTCACGACTAAAGTAAAGGGTGTCGGCTTTACAAACTTTTCGCATATCCCGGGGATCGGGATACGGAGTTGGGACGTGGCGGATTATATAGTACCACCTTTGGAAAATAATGCACTGTTTGTGATCACCAACTTGGTTAAAACTGAACGGCAGTCACTTTCCAAGTGCCCAGAGGTAGTTCCTTTGGCATAATACATTTTCTAGAGTTCATGGGTCCCTGACGCAGCTTGTTATAAAGACTCAGACTGTAAACCCTACTTTATTACCCATCTTGGCAATGGTAAGTTGGTAGTGACAGCTATATTTATCCTTTAAACTGATTTTGATGTTCAAAATTATCATATATTGTTGTATAAAATTAGAATTTCAATCATTAAACACAGTCTTTATCTGTTACATAAGATCCAGAAGCGCTTTAACTTAAATTTACTTCTATCATTTTAATATTTATTTATTAAATGATTCTCTAGCTAGTTCATGGATTTTTACGAACCATTTTGCTCTCTAACTGAATTGTGGTTAGCAAGACTGTCGAGGAGTTCTGTTTTTTATCAAATATCACAAAACATATATTTTATTGGACTGGTGTGTAGATTGTTAGGTTCTTGTCAAATATGAATTCGCAAATCACTTGGACAGCGTTTTAAAATTTTCTTCGAACAATTTTTTGGAGACAATTCAATCGTGAGGTCGTAATTGTGTATCTCAGTTCTAAATCAATAATCAGTTCATTGGAGGTTCTATACCTTATGATTACTATTCTAGCCATACTAAGCCATATCAGTTAGGATAACATGTTAGAGCATTCATTTCAACTAAAATTTCATTATATCTACCTGTTTTTACATATATTGTCTTCAATAATGATTTGATCCGCATCACTTTGTGTCTTGAAATAAAATATTCTCTAAGTTAAACTGATATAATACCTTGTCTTAACTGTCAAAATCAAGACTCCATTTCAATCCATGAAAAAATATGATATCCCTCCAATAGAAGTTGTTCAGAATTAAATATCAGTTGAATCAACATTTACAGAAAGATTCCGCACTCGTACACAATTTTATGTTTTTTTCGCATCTCTAAATTCTTCTTTACATATACCTTTCATGGGTTAGGCAGTTATAAAAGCAAGTAATATATTTCTCAGTTAGCTTTACGGAGTTCGTGGTGCTGTATCTGCGACTAAACCACTAAATGTAAGGATATTTGACTTTACCAGCTGATAGTTTGTTAAAATTAAACTGTGGGATGTACACAAGCACAAACAAAAAATGCAAAACTATTGTCTCGATCCTAACGAGTTACCCAGATTGATCTGAATACGCTATGCTGGAAAATGTCTGTCTAACAATATGACTTGGAAGCAATTATTTTAGGCTTGTAATCTACGCTAAAAATGACAAATAAAAACCCATATTAATGTTTATAGATACTTTGGAATAAGGTCTTTTTAATTTGTTTAATTTCTTACGACAGTTTTCGTCCGTTTGTCAATTTTTATAGGACAGAACTTATGATATCATTTACTAAAGTTTCGTAAAATAAAAGACTTACTTACATCCGATTGTTTGCTCTTTAATACACTGTTATTACTACCTAATTACTAATTTTTCTTGAAATATTCCTCAGTACAGTACTTCCGTTGAGACTTTAATACAGCTATTCGTTGATAAAGAACTGTCTGTTTAGCAATTTAAAATATTTCGCTTTCTCTCATTTAAAAACAAAATTTTATCAGACTATGATCGTTCAAAAAAATTAAAATACAATAGATTTATCAATCTGTATCTGGTTTTTCATGATTGTCTTTTGTTACAGTTATTACAAATAATTTATTACAAACAACTGCACGAAACATGAGTTTAACCGGCTCATAACTGTTTGTATACTCAATATTTGGTAGAATGGAAATCCCTCTCTTATAGAATTGCCACTTTGGACTTATCTTCAGTTTTATTTTGGTGTCCCAACAACTAGGCACCTTTCCACTTATTACAATCCAAATATTAAAATTAAGTACGAAATAAAGATAATTTGTCAGTCTAAAATTCATTTTTAATTATGGATATAGCGAATTAAAATAAACATCCTAAGTTTTACTCTACTTCTTAGTCATCAATTTTAAGATGCTTATAAAAATGACATTAGGTGTTTTATAGCATATGCTTACAGTAATTTCATGTATATAAATTCAGTTAATATTATGTTATCAGCACCGACCTTTCATAATTTCCTAATTAATTATAGAAACTATGAGTTTTCCCTTTTTATCAAGTTTGATTATTTCATACCTTGGGCTCTTGAATAAATTAAATACCATGTAATAGAATTTTTAAAGATCATATCTAAAAATGAGTTACCTGTTTTCAGCTAAATCATCTTCACACTGAAAATAATTCTAAAATGTACGTTCAGTGATACTTGCCACAATTTCATGCTCACTAAATATAAGACTACAAAATACAGTAAGCTTTATTAAATGTAATTGCAGACATTATCTATCAACTTTAGCAGTATGAATATGTAGTCACACTTTAACATCAATATTTACGAAGTGTTAAATAAATTTGACATCTGAATAATACCATGTAACATTGTTTGAAGGTAAACGAGTTTTTGAAACATGGTTTAGTTGTTAACTGCGCTCATAATTGAAACGATATAAAGATATTTTTTCCTGGAAATTCTGTCTTAAAGTCAATCACTTCATATATTTTGATTGCCCAATCAATTTCATTTAGACACTGAAACATTTGCGTATTGTTGATATCATTCTATCTTTTTTATTTGCAAGGACAAATGAATTTGCAAAAACGTTTCTAGGTCCGTAGGTTTCAATTTGCATTCTTAATATACGTGGTTAGTGGTAGTCTAGATTTTATTTAAAATACTTATGAACATTAAATTCACTTAGTGTTGTTTTACTTGTATCTTCCCATTGTTATTTAGGACTGCAATTGATCAGTCTCATGTTGGCATAAGTGCATCCTGTGCGGATTGCCTCGAAATAGCCTTAAGTCACAAGCTTTCTAAGCAAAGATGGATAGTGGCTAGCGGTGGAATCCAGGACGCGCGTTACGTCCTATTTGGGACTCGTCAGCTGGATGCATCCCAGAGATGATGTTATACAAAATGAGAATTACTTTATTGATTACTTACTTACGCCTGTTACTCCTAATGGAGCATAGGCCGCTGACCAGCATTCTCCAACCCACTCTGTCCTGGGCCTTCTTTTCTAGTTCCATCCAATTCTTGTTCATTTTTCTCATGTCTATTTCCATTTCTCGGCGTAATGTGTTCTTTGGTCTTCCTCTTTTCCTTTGGCCTTGAGGATTCCATGTGAGGGCTTGTCTTGTGACGCAGTTGGGTGCTTTCCTCAATGTGTGTCCTATCCACTTCCAGCGCTTCTTCCTGATTTCTTCCTCCGCTGGGATCTGGTTTGTTCTCTCCCACAGTACGTTGTTGCTAATAGTGTCCGGCCAACGGATCTGAAGTATTTTGCGTAGACAACTGTTAATAAACACCTGTATTTTCTGGATGATGGCTTTCGTAGTTCTCCAGGTTTCTGCCCCATACAGTAGAACTGTCTTGACATTTGTATTGAAAATCCTGACCTTGGTGTTGGTTGACAGTTGCTTTGAGTTCCAGATGTTCCTCAGTTGTAAATATGCTGCTCTTGCTTTGCCGATCCGCGCCTTCACATCTGCATCAGATCCACCCTGTTCATCAATGATGCTGCCCAAATATGTAAAGGTTTTTACATCTTCCAAATCTTCTCCGTCAATTGTGATTGGATTGGTGCATTCTGTGTTGTATCGGAGAATCCTGCTTTTCCCTTTGTGTATATTGAGACCTACTGCTGCTGAGGCTGCTGCCACACTGTCGTCTTCTCCTGCATCTGTTGTTGCGTTTGGGATAGAAGGGCCAGATCATCTGCGAAGTCTAGATCGTCCAACTGCATCCTAGATGTCCATTGTATCCCGTGCTTCCCTTCAGACGTTGACGTCTTCATGATCCAGTCGATCACCAGGAGAAAGAGAAAGGGTGAGAGTAAGCAACCTTGCCTAACACCGGTCTTTACTTCGAACGACTTTGTCAACTGTCCTCCATGCACAATTTTGCAGTTTAATCCATCATATGAATTCCGTATGATATTGACTATCTTCTGAGGCACGCCGTAGTGTCGAAGAAGTTTCCATAGTGTTGTTCTGTCCACGCTATCAAATGCCTTTTCGTAGTCAATGAAGTTGATGTAGAGTGATGAATTCCATTCAATTGATTGTTCCACAATGATCCGTAGAGTTGCGATTTGGTCTGTACACGATCTATCCTTACGGAATCCTGCCTGTTGGTCACGAAGTTGGGCGTCTACGCAGTCCTTCATCCTGTTTAACAATACCCTGTTGAAGACTTTTCCCGGTATTGAGAGAAGAGTGATGCCCCTGTAGTTATCACAGTTGCTGAGATCGCCTTTCTTCGGTATTTTGATCAGAAGTCCTTCTTTCCAGTCTTTTGGTACTTGTTCCTCATCCCAAATCTTATTGAAGAGAATGTGGAGTATCCTTGCAGTTGCCGCTACGTCTGCTTTTAGTGCCTCTGCTGGGATGTTGTCCGGTCCTGCTGCTTTGCCACTCTTGATTTGTCTGATGGCCATGCTGATTTCTTCAATTGTTGGTGGGCCAACATTGATTGGGAGGTCCGTGGGTGCTGCTTCGATGTTGGGTGGGTTCAGTGGAGCTGGTCGATTCAAGAGTTCTTTGAAGTGTTCTACCCACCTGTTTTGTTGCTCTTCAATGTTGGTGATTACCTGCCTTCCTTGCTTTTCACTGGTCGTTCTGGTTTGCGGCGATTTCCAGAGAGTTTCTTTGTCGTGTCATACAATTGTCTCATGTTTCCTTCTCTTGCAGCCTTTTCCACATATTTACGTTTGTCGGTTCTGATGCTCCTCTTCACTTGTTTGTTTACTTCTGTGTATTCAGCTTGTGCCTTGGCTTTTTCTGCTCTTGTTCGACTGGTATTGATTGCTGCTTTCTTGTTCCTCCTTTCTTGAATCTTATCCAGTGTATCAACAGTGATCCATTCCTTGGGTGGTGCTTCTTGTGACCCAGGACCTCATGACATGTTGAAGTGATTGCCTCTTTGATCCCCTTCCAGTTGCTCTCCACAGTAGTTCCTTCTCCATTGAGTAGATCATGAAAGGCCTGGAACTTGTTGCTGAGGACTATCTTGAATTTGTTGAGTTTGTTAGTATCCTGAAGAAAGGCCGTATTGAACTTTTGTGATATTGTCCGCCCCGTTGTCCAGTGCTTCTTGAGTTTCAATTTCATCTTAGCGATCAGCAAGTGATGATTTGATACTATATCAGCTTCTCTCTTGATTCTCACCCCTTCTGTCGTTCTCCTGAACTTTTTGTTGATGCATATATGGTCGATTTTGTTTTGCGTAGTGTGATCCGGTGAAGTCCATATGATTTCGTGAATGCGTTTATGTGGGAATATGATGTCGCCTATGACCAGTTTATTGAAGGCAAATAGGTTTGCAAATCTCTCACCATTTTCGTTTCTTTCTCCCAGTCTGTGTCGTCCCATGATGTCTTCATATCCAGTGTTGTCCGTTCCAACCTTGACATTGAAATCTCCCATCAGAATGGTCAGGTCCTTTGTTGGGCACTTCTCGATGATTGACTGCAGCCTATCGTAGAATTATTCTTTAGCATCTTCATTGTAGTCGTTGGTAGGCGCATAACATTGGATGATGTTCATTGAAATGCCCTCTTTCTTTGTTTTGAAGGAGGCTTTGATGATGCTTGGTCCATGAGATTCCCTTCGTATAAGTGCCTTTTGTGCTTGTTTGGACAGCATCAATGCAACTCCTTGTGTATGTGGGGCATTTTCTTCATCATGGCCGGAATATAACGGAAGCTCCCTTGAAGCTAGTCGTTGTTGTCCAACGTGTTTCACTGATCCCATGCACCTCTAGGTTGTATCTCCTCATTTCTGCAGCAATTTGGAAGACTCTCCCGGTCTCCCACATTGTACGAGTATTCCACATACCTAAGTAAGTGGTTGATCTGGCTGTCAGAACGGGGCATCGGCCTCGTAACTTCCGAAGGAATTCGGCTTTCATCATGAGGCGTCATAGTTCTTCTAAAAGAAGACCTGCTGACTCCCAGGGCAGAGTTCAAATGGTTTAAGAAATTTTTCTGGTTAGCGTTTTTTCAGAGAGTTAGTTTTCTACGGGATGTGGACGCTAACCACATGCTCAACCCTCCTCCTTTATCCTGTCTTGGGACCGGCAGTAGCCCCCGAAGGGACTCCAGGCGGAGTTTTTATTGATCAGGGTGAAGTATTATTTCAATTAATGAACTATATTAACAATTTTGGATAGTGTAGATAAGATTCCAGTAATTAATTGTCATTGTGTTTTGTTCATTTAAAAAAAAGATTGTAACTTAGATATTTTAACCCATTCATTGTCTATTCTCTGTTCAGGTGCTCATACAGGCAAATGTATCATTAAACCAGGGAATGATATTGGATCATGTGAAATATATTCTTGGTGTCCATTAGAAAATGATACTTTACCGCTTGGTAAAAAGTCATATTTATTCCCAATGGTTTATAATTACACACTACTTATCAAAAATGATATAAATTTTGAAAAAATTCGGTATACATCGGTAAGTTGTATCAAATAAGAAAAATAGTATTGAATGCTTTGTTTCAAAGAATTTATTAAGTGTTTTCAATAATTAAACAAATCGTTTTTTTCCTTTTAACACTACTGTATCTTTTTGTCACAGAATGTCTACGTTAATCATTTTCAACAATCTTATTACTACCTGTCAGTTACTAAACTTATTCTGAACACGCTTCTGATATAGTCTTCAATTTGATTCAGTCACAATGTACCCTACCTAAACCTTAGCCGACCATCGATGTGTTGTGAGAAGACAAAGAACTTGTGAGTAGCTGGGTTGCTAGATCTAATTATATATGTACACAAATCCAGTTACTGGACCGATCCAGACAATATGTGTGAGGTGACGTTGACCATATCACAAATTTGCTAACTCACAATAGCTAGGCCACAACTTAATTTTTCAATTACCACATGATGTTTACGATAACAATTAATTTTTTGCATTTGCCTTGCCTGTCATCTCAGACTCCTGTAAAAATTTCCCCCTTTGTATTCAGCTGAGTTGTGGCTACATGAAGTTCCATATTGTTCACATTTAAGTCTCAATTCAACATCCTAACAGTTTGCTGTATTATGCACTTTCAATTATCTAAAGTATGTGGTGAAAAAAACATTGACATTAGTTACCGTGCATTTGTCATTATTTTCAAACCATCTTAACATTTTAAACCGTTTCGTGGTCGAAGTACCATTTGCTGGTAAGGATCATTTATGTTTCGAAGGTTGATATGTTGATAACATGTGATATTAGTCATAATTATAGGTTCTAAATTAGGAAAGTGTTGTAACGGGTGGTTTGCAGGTTAGATGCGCAGCGTAGTTATCGATCGCTTCTGTGACAAGTAAACACGTAATGAACGACCTAGAGTCCTGATTGGCCCTGCTTCGCTGTCTAACCCAGCCAGTTGAGTCTAGAACGCAAGTCACAGCCTCTGAGTTATGAATCATTATATTTCAGACATACTTTGTTTATATACCAACCAAACAAACCACATCGTACCATAAAATGGAAAACAACATTTACACAATATTTAACAAGTGAGATAAATATCGACCGATAGGAAATGTCCATTTAACGTCCAAGGACACCATTCGACTTGCCCTAACTTGGAACCCTGAAGGGAAGCGAAAAAGAGGAAGGCCAAAGAACACATTGCGTCGGATAATAGAAGCAGATATGAAAAGGATGAATTACAACTGGACAGAGCTGGAAAGGATTGCCCAGGACAGGGTTGGATGGAGAATGCTGGTGAGTGGCCTATGCTCCTTTACGAGGAGTAACAGGCGTAAGTAAGTAAGTAACACCATTCGACTTAACACGATAATTATTGGTATATTCCTCTGCATACCTAACAGAAAGATGTTTAAACTTTAGATGTTTCACTCAAATGAGCAAAAATCCCAAACAGATCATCAAAAGTGATACTTTCACAATGGTTTTTCTCAGCATCTTATGAATGGACTTCATAGACTGAGTTTGGTTTTTAAATCAAAATTAAATAAATGAATATTTGAAGTCTTAGAGAAAAGAGAAGCTCATATAATAAATATAAAGGTTTTCTAAAATCACTGGGTACTGATTTTATTACTTACCACATACAAATTACTTAATCAACACACTGAGTAGTTTATACAACAAGAGAAATAGAATAAAGTAAATCAGAAGTTAGTTATAAATTACCTAATGAATAATTTCTAATGAATAAATAGAATGTTAAGTAAACAATTTAAAAATCTCACTCATTGAAATCATGAGTCAGTTGAAGCTAGATCACCATTGAAAACCTGGAAGCACTGGACGGCCGTTTAGTCCTAGTATGAGACTCCTGAGCAGTGCGCATCCACAAAACTCCACCCCGCGAGATTCGAACCCAGGACCTATCAGTCTCGCGCCAGGCACTTAACCAACTAGACCACTGAGCCGGTTGGCATCCAACGGTGTTAATGTCTAAGTTCAACCAATCCACGAAATTGCGCCACCGTACACCATTGTCTCCAGTGAGTTGATATCTCACACCAGACCTGGTTGAACTCCACGGGTAACAGCTTCTCACTAGAACTCCAGGAGTATCTCTTGAAGTCAGTCACCAGTGAGCAGATGACGAAACGGCCGTCCAGTGCTTCCAGGTTTTCCACGGTGGTCTAGCTTCAATTGACTCATGATTTCAATCTGTAAAATTTCTAAAATCTCCACAAACCCCTTTTGATAATTTAAAAATCATTTCATTCCGACAAAACAAAGTATTTGATAATTATACTTATCGACCTGATCAATTTATTGTTGCCTTACGATATCAACTTAGTTAGAAGAGATGTTTAACGGAACTCTTTCTTTGTCTGTATATTTGTTATATTTCTCTCTTATTACAACCCAGCTATTCCTAATGTTTACTATTCTTGAACACCAATTTACCCGACAAATCCCCAAATCAGAGCACAGTTGAACAGGAAAGAGATTATTTTCTAAGTAACAAGGTTAGATGGGAGTAAGAAGCACAATAGGAAAAAATTTAGTATATTTATAGTTCTAACATGAGAAGATCCTATAGTGTCCTCCAAGTATCGACTCATAACATTAGGAGACGAGTCAATAATCTTTGTTCACTTAATTTGGTTCCAGTAATAAGACAGTGCTAACGGTTTTCATTAAAATAGCTTAATTCACAACTGATTACACAAAATGAATATTTGTTTAATAGTTGAATTCATTAGTCAGTTGAAGCTAGACCAACATGGAAAAGCTGAGAGCACTAGACGACCGTTTCGTTCTAGTATGAAACTGTTCAGCAGTGTATATCCATGATTCCACCTTGCGAGTTTTGAACCCAGGACCTGTCGGACTCGTGAGTAAATGCTTAACCTCTAGACCATTGAGCCGGTCGGCATCGAACGGTGTTAATGTTTAACTTCAACCAATCCATGAATATATTTGTTTTTAGTCAAACAATTAACAAACGGACGTCCAGTGCTTCCAGGTTTTCCATACTAGTCTAGCTTCAATCAACTCATGAATTCAACTATTAAAATTATTATAATTTCCAAAAAACCCTCTCTGATTATAAAAGTATACATTTTTCATTATTTATTAAAGTTATTCTCATTAAGTTTTAGTTAGGGTGACACTATAATTTATAGACGACCAATGACAGACGCTAAACTGACCTTGAGAGTGTCCACCTAATAACTAGGACCAAATGAGGGTTATAAGCCAATATGAGGAATTAGAATTATGATTTACAATTAATGAATAGAGTAAGGAATTAGATTTCGGGTTTTCATCATGAATTGACATCAGCCACAATGTCAAAACTCTACTTAACCAAATGGATGAGTGGATTTCACACCAGAATCTGTGAACTGTTATCTTATAGGTGATTGGTTCATCCATAATTATAATCTCGCCTTAGTTAGTTCTTCTACATCACTATCTTTGTCTATCCTAAACCATTAAATTTGATTCAATATGTCTAGTTTTTATTGCTTTCAACGTTATAGATATTATAATTGAATGCATTTTATTTTTAACTCTATCTACTTAATTAATATGAATATTTGTTAGTATTTGAATGAATAGTTTGATAGGAATTGAGCGTCAAATGTATAACAGGTATTATGTGTAAATATTGTATTTGAAATCATCTCAATAATTGAAATTTAAATAATTTTCAAGTTTCGTCCAGTGATATTGTATGAACTTCTTCAGAGAACTACCACAGAATATATACCGTTTAACAAACAAAGAAATCTTCACTGAAAGCTTATCTAATGATATTCAGGTGTTGATTTTATCAACTATGAAGATATTGGTCAATAAGATGTGAATAATATGCAAAAGAATGAATGTGTATGTGTAGGTTTATGTTAATAATAGTTAAAGTTTATTACATAAATTCAGTCTCTGTTTATTATCAGTTACATGCGAATCATTTTGTTTGAATTCAATAAAAAATCTAATCTCAGTGGTTTAATGTCATGACTATCCATTCGTCTCTTCACATTTTACATAAACTTTGAAGATAAAAAAAACTATTGATTTGTACTATTATTTTCAATAAACAAAATGATCAACATGTATTTAAAACTACTAGGTTCTTTGATAAATTTCGATAGTGTATTAGGAAGATGAAGATTATCAGAACTATTGTAGTCTTAATCATACGAAAATTCAACTCCCCCTATGTATTCAAAGAACAGTTTGTTTACACTTTAAACCTACCCTAGTAATATTAGCTTATTATCCAGAATGATGAGGTTTCAAATTGTTTTCACATTATTATTTTTTTAATTATCCTTGTCTCCTTTTACCCTCCATTTCTAGACTAGTTGACCTTTTATCATTATATATAAATGTTCTTAACAAGTACATTATGAATGATCAGATTGTTCGAAATATATTGCGCTAATATATCATTACATAATTCTGATAATCTTCGTCTTCTTATTAAACTATCGAAAGTAATACATGTTTGATAATAGACAGAGACTGAATTTATCCAATAAATTTTAGAACAACATATATACGTAAACAATATTGTTTTCGATTAGATCCTCATCAGGCTTTACGCTAACATACAGTAATATTTATATGCATATACAAAATTATTAAACCAATGAAGTCAGTTTATTGAGTGATTGATAACAGTGGAATAGATTACAAAAATAAGTGAAAAGTACAAATTGGTGCTGTGATGACAGTTGTACTAGTTGTAACAACAATAATAAAGGCTTAAATCAATGTTACATAATGGGAAATAGGTCAATGATTAGAAAAATATAGACACTGAATTACCATTCATAAAAATTATAAGATTATGTAATAAGTGTTCAGGTAAATGGACAGTGAAACGTATATTTGAGAAAGAAAGAAAATGGTAGGAGGGGATGAAGAAAAATAATAAACGACGAGAGAGTATGGAAAATAATGATAAAGTTTAGCTATTAACAACATAAATCTATACATACATATTCATTCATTCAGTTTCATATTCTAAACGTTCCACACTATTCATATCTTACTAATCCATATATTCTCCTATTTGACAATGTTAACATTTGAATATGATTTAATAAGTGTTTATTGAAGATTTCTTTGTTTGTTAAGCGGTATATATTCTGTGGTAGTTCTCTGAAGAATTCATACAATATCACTGGACGAAACTTGAAAATTATTTAAATTTCAATTATTGAGATGATTTCAAATACAATATTTACACATAATACCTGTTATACATTTGACGCTCAATTCCTATCAAACTATTCATTCAAATACTAACAAATATTCATATTAATTAAGTAGATAGAGTTAAAAATAAAATGCATTCAATTATAATATCTATAACGTTGAAAGCAATAAAAACTAGACATATTGAATCAAATTTAATGGTTTAGGATAGACAAAGATAGTGATGTAGAAGAACTAACTAAGGCGAGATTATAATTTATGGATGAACCAATCACCTATAAGATAACAGTTCACAGATTCTGGTGTGAAATCCACTCATCCATTTGGTTAAGTAGAGTTTTGACATTGTGGCTGATGTCAATTCATGATGAAAACCCGAAATCTAATTCCTTACTCTATTCATTAATTGTAAATCATAATTCTAATTCCTCATATTGGCTTATAACCCTCATTTGGTCCTAGTTATTAGGTGGACACTCTCAAGATCAGTTTAGCGTCTGTCATTGGTCGTCTTAGTGTCACCCTAACTAAAACTTAATGAGAATAACTTTAATAAATAATGAAAAATGTATACTTTTATAATCAGAGAGGGTTTTTTGGATATTATAATAATTTTAATAGTTGAATTCATGAGTTGATTGAAGCTAGACTAGTATGGAAAACCTGGAAGCAGTGCGCATCCACGATCCTACCTCAAAGATTCGAACCCAGGACCTATCAGTTTCGCCCGCGAATGCTTAACCACTAGACCACTGAGTCGGCATCCAACGGTGTTAATGTCCAACTTCAACCAATCGACGAAGTTATGCAACCATCCATCATTGTCGTCAGTAAATCACTATCACACGGCAAACCCGGTTGATCTCCATTGGTCACTAGAACTCTAGGTAATACCTATTGGAGACCGTCATTAGTTAGCATGTAATGATAATAATCAGAAAGGGGTTTTGTGGAGATTGTAGTAATTTTGATAGTTGGATTCATGGGTCATTTGAAGCTAAAGCACCATGGAAAACTTGGAATTACTTTTATCCTTTGAAGATAGAAGTGATTGATAATAACTCAACACGTAAAAAAAATATGCTGATAATAATAAAATGTATAATGAAAATTCTAGCATGTAAATACAGAGAAAAAGGATATAACTTTACACAAAAGTACTTCTTATCGAACTTCATATTTACGTTACCATAAAACTTATAAAGTATTATGAATTCGTATAGCGTATATATTATATTTAAATAACCAAGCCAAAAGCATAAAAACCCACAGTTGCGGTTGCAAATGCCCTGATACGGCCGAGAATGGGAAGAGTTATCTCTCCCTCTCGAAATCCTCTCACATGGCCACGTGCATGCAATCATTGCCAGGGAGGTCCTACTCACTGTCTTCTTGCAGTGGACGTGTTCTTTACGAAATTGAGAAGACAAAAGGCCAATGTCCAGTGCTTTAATCGGGTTGGTGAACATGGAGGATCCACCCAGGAGAGTTGGAAAACCCTGGTTTCAAACCAATGGTGCACATGGGCACCAGGATCCTGAAGAAACAAATGACGTATGAACTAGTTGTTGATCACCTTCTACCTTACGTTGCTCCACTGCCTTGTGGGTCATACCTTTAGGTCAAAGTCTCCGGGTGTGGCCCCCCAAGAAAACCACCCACTTCTGTTTGGGAACCCGGGCAGTATCCTAGCCCTCATACAAATCGAATGATTTATGTGACGTATATCCATTTGATGCCTCCATGTACCAGTGTTTATGTGTTTAAATAAATAAGTAAATAAAATAATCTGAGGTGTAGTTAATGTGTGCTGGAATCTAATCTCAATACAGCGGTATCATGGAATGTTGTTATTTAGATTAGTAAGACGTAATAAGGAAGGATGAATGCGAAGTGAATGAATCAAGATCAGAAAACAAAACGCCTGAGATACAAATCTTCTCCACCATCTCATGCATTGGGTAGATTAATAATGTTTAACCAATAATAATAATAATAATAATAATAATAATAATAATATAATATAATGCAAAGATTTGTGAATAAAGATAACAGAGACAATTACAATTACAAAGGTCGTAAGTACAATAGTCAAATTAGATCATTCAATAGCTAAGATTACTATTGATTAATTGGCTTTGATGTTGGCCGGGGACGGAGGAATGGTTGAAGATGTTTCTTTTGTACTCATAGCTCAGGTTTCTTCATCCGGATGTCTACCCCTTCAACCGTTTAAAGGACTTTAAGTCTGACAAGCCTTGGTAAAAAAATTACTGACCCTATAAATAATTTAAAAGGCTTGGTTTATACTGGCACTATGACCAGTTTGTACTAAATGGGCCAATATCTAGCTGTTCACTTTCTTCACCAAAGCTTTACTTAGCCACTCTGGGATGTGTTCGCAAGCACGAAAATGTAGATTCCTAGGACTTCCACCAATATAACTTGCTCCACAGCAGCAGTCGAACTGATAAATACAAAATGAGGTGGTCATTCTATGTAATTCATCTTTTAGCCTCGATGTCACCCTATCTGACCCATATTTATTCAGATCATGGATCTTAAAGCTTCACTTCACATATATGCAGATTCAAGTTTACATTCCATATGAATCATATCAACATTAATAATTTTGTTGTATTTTGTCTAACAATCCTAAATTCACATGCTTTAACTTTGAACGATATACTTTACCCTTAACCCGACCATTTATTAATTTGTATTATATATGAGTTGTAGAACTTGAAGAGAATTTATTGAAAAGAATATTCTTCATTCAAAGATTAGTCTTTTAATTTTATTAGTAAATTGAATAACTTAACTTTCATTGACATGAGATTGTATTTTTATTCGTTTCATATAGTAATAAATAGAATGTTTTCATTGAACTATTGTATTGAACGAGATTTCAGGTGGGGAAAACCATACATTAAATACATTTTCTATATATCTTCCTTCAGTTGTACTTTACATAGTTCATGATTCTTCCTTGTTCTGTTGTTATAGACTTACTGTTCTATTTATATTGTATTTTCTTTATTTTAATCTTTTGTTGACAAGTGTTCTATACTACTTAAATATGTCAGTATATGCAATGTACACCACAGTATTATTTATTTATGCCAAGTCTTTTGATAACGGAGAGACTCTAATTTGGGGACGACCTTTGAACGAATCTTAAATGACCTTGACAATTATTAGCCAATCAGAAGACAGTTAGTATGAAGTGAAAATATATTATAAGAAAGTAATGAATTACGGTGGATATTCTTCTTTTACATGATTTAAAAACTTGTTAAGGTTTGATAAAGGTTCAGAGGTACTGAATTCATATTGCACATAGTATAGAAACTCGTCCATAGGGTTAGGGTTAGGTTACGGTTAGGGTTTAGGGTTAGGGTGCTAACATACGATCGGTTTACAACGGATTTTAAAGAAGAGGTGTTTATCGAGAGGCTACAACCCTAACCCTATGGTTGTACCTTTTTCCAGATGAACTCACTATCTGGGATTTCATAATGTTATCTAATTTCAATTTATGGTAATAAATTGTATTTATCTTATGCAAGAAATACTTTGAATCGAAAAACAAAAAAGAATTCGTTTATTCATAATAATAATAATAATTTTTTCTTTAATTCTAGACGAAACATTCAAAATTGGGCATCCAAAAAATTTCTTCGTACATGTTTATATAATAAAACTGATCCAGAAAATCGATTTTGTCCAATATTTCAGTTTGGTACTATATTTGAAGAAGCTAATGTGGACCAATCAATATTTATTAGTGTGAGTGATTTGTGATTATTTATTATTAAAGTACATTGTTTTCAGTACTATAGAGATATTTCTGCAAACTATTTATTGGTATAGGGGTTGTGGAGATTGTTAAGTTTTGATTGAGATCATGAACCGATTGATGTTAGACCAGCATTGAAAACCTGCAAGCATTGATCGTCCGTTTCGTCCTATTGTGAGACTCCTCAGCAGCGCATATCAAAGATCCCGACTCACGAGCTTCGAACCCAGGACCTGTCGGTCTCGTACACGAACACTGAATCTCACTGGTCTAGAGGTTAAGCGTTCGTGAGCGAGACTGAAGGGTATGGTTTCGAATACCGCGAGCGGGATCGTGGATGCGCATTGCTGAAGAGTCCCACAACAGGAAGAAACGGCCGTCCAGTGCTTCTAAGTTTTCCATGGTGATCTAGCTACAATTGACTCATGATCTCAACTATTAAAATATTATTTCTGCTTGAATTCTATTACAAATTGAATATTGAATTTCAGTAAAAAAAACAAAAAAAATTGGAATCACTACGATAGAAATTTATTCATGTGTGAAATAAGTATTTAATAATTTTTATATTTTACTTTAATATCTGAGTAATATTTACTTATCTCCAAGTGATTATTTAAAATGTCAATTTAATTTAGCTTAAATTTACTATAAACTAATAGTTATGATATTCAAACAGCTTCATTCATTCATAAATTGAAATTAAGCCAGGAGAACAAGATTTACAGAATAATAGGAATTCATAATATTTCAAGGCCACACATTCAATGAAACCGGGTCAATTTTACGTTAGTTATTTTATTGTAAAACATTTTATATACTGTAATCAATGAAGTTTATTTTAAAACAACGGTATGTTTGAATATTTGGGGTACTTGTTCCTGCCATTTAGATATTTCAACAAGTTATCTGTTTTCTTGTTTATTTGTCTTAACACATTATTATGTCTATTGATTGCATAACCTACTCAAGTGAGTTTATGAAAAGTTTACGATTTTTCACTATACAAGTTATAAAAACGCCCAATCAGCGACATTTTGGTTGCTGACGCTATGCATCGAAAAGAATATACATTATTTAGATATTGATTTCTGACGATTCCTCGTAACATCTAACTGATGATCACTTAATACTTATTGTCAGGATCAATCAAGAAATAGGAAACGGAAACTTGTTGAGATACTTTGCGCTGACCATTCTATATTGCACCAAAAATATATTGAATAAAGCTGCTAATAATAATAATAAAACAAAAGGAAATAAAATATCTAATAAAATAGTTAAGATCGATTAGCATTCATATTATTGAAGATGAAGTCATATAAGGAAATCGTTAAAGTTGTTAGTGATATTGTGGTGTAGGTTACTTATATCCACATAAGTAGTATATATCGGTGGTCAGACATAGGATGTATTTCAGTAGAAGGTCTATAAAGAAAGAACAGAAACGGAACGCGATTGGTATGAAAACGTATGAACAATGAAATCTGAGACAATGAATTGATGTTTGCGACAGGAACAGTGAAGTTTGAAATGATGGATTGATATTTTGCAAATTAACGATTTACTAATATGATTCTCAGATATTATTAAGATGCTGTGTAATTTCGTGTTCAAATACATTCGATTGTCCCCACTCATGTTCCTGATCACTACAATATTAAAAAGACAATGAATAAAAACAAATTATCAACAAATGATTAACAAATCAAGGTATCTAGTTTATATAAAATTCAAGGTAACATCTTGGATGAATATCAGGGAAATTTATTTTTACGTTATGACATAATTAATAAAGAGATTATATACTTGATAAAACGTTAGAGTAACATAACTGTTCTACCATGGTAATAAGAGATTCATTACATTCACTTTCTGTATACAAAGTTAGGTCGAAAGAACTTGATGGAAATGTTTTCAAAGTGAAATAAAGTGGTATTCACTGCTTGTTGATCATTTTAAAAGCTTCTGTTATGTTTACACTGTTTCTACTGTCCATAAAGTGTTTAGTGATTACACTTGTACAAAGTATAAAACATAAAAATAGTTATGATAATAAATATTTCGGGCTCTTCAGGTCGTGATCATATAGCTATTAGTGTAGTGAACGAGAACACCAGTGGTGAACGACCAAATGTACATGTATTTTAATAAAAAACTACAGAATGTCTGGGTAAAATCTGAGAACCATGGAGTAAATATTTTATTTGCAAAATGTCAATTAGTTGTCTCAGACTTGATTGTTTCTTCGTTTCCACACCAACCACTCTCTGTTCTCGTTCTTTTCTCTTCACTTTGCTTAACCTTCTGCCACCAGGCATTTCACTTTTGATTGGTGATACATACTACTTCTATATATCGACATCCGTAGCACACCACATTAGTACGAAAGAACGAATGAATGAAAAAGATGCAAGTGTGTAAAAGTGGTCCATCTGTTAGCGATAATGGATTCTTTGGTAGGTGATAATTTGTTATGGTGTTTAAAGAGATAGTTTAATTTTTTTCCAATGAAAGTAAGACTTTTGACTAAAAAAGATGTAGTGATAACAATAAGCTAATAGAGTCACTTCCAGAAAATGTGGTAATCGTTATTCAATTCAGTGGTAGATTACATAAGAACACATATGGTGTTTGCAGTGCAAAACCAATTTAGAGCATACTTTATATAATAGTAATAAAATCTATAGCATAATCAGGAAGTTATAAGGTTGTATCATACTAGATAGATAGATGTTGTTGAAGATTTGTAGCTCAGGCGGATGTTTTTAATGGAGTTTTGTTCTCTCAGCTGGATGGTTTGATCATGAAACTTTCATCTTTATTTTGAACGACATCATCAGCACAAACCATCCAACTCAACGAGCAAGACTTCATCAAAACTAGACAAGTAATCAATTAATTATTAACGGTTCATATCGTACGTCATATTTACTAATGGCATATGAAATTTTCTCCGATTAAGTAAACTAAATAAATCTTCATACAGCCCTAAGTTATTTCTGTATGATACTTTATTAGAAATTCCATCAAACTAACCATTGTGATGAATGTCAAACCACTACCGAAAACCTGAAAGCACTGGACGACTGTTTCGTCCTGGTACGGGACTCCTCAACAGTGCGCATCCATGATCTCGTTCACAAGGTTTGAACCTAGGTTTTTCATGGTGATCTAGCTTTAATTGACTCATGAATCCAACCATTATAGATTTTATTTTTTTGGTGGCGACTTTTAATACTGTTATATCTAGAGCTTATATTCTTGGTATACTGCGTATAACTTGAGCACTAGAACGCTGAAACCCTTCCAAGTCGCAATGAGAAGACAGAAGACTAGTGAAATGAATATTATTCCAGACAGTGTCAAATTATAGTACAAAACTGTCAGGTATTTATAGTTTTTCGTTAAAACGAAATCATCATTGTAGCTAACCAATCCGCACACAGGGGGTTATTAACATTGCCCAATCGGGAAGCTACACGTAGAAATTCTAGAATATTCTTCCAAAAGATGATTGGATGGAATATCTTCGACTTTTTATAAGCTACTTACGTCTTCCTCGAGTTCACCCGTGGACCGTCCTCACAAATTTAATTATTGTTTACATTGTTACTTAAATATGAAGAATACTGTCTAGTTAAATGAAAATTACTTTTAAGTCAAACTCATTAAATTATAAATTACATTATAAGCAAAGATGGATAGTGGCTAGTAGTGGAATTCAAGATGCAAATTTTGTCCTATTCAACACTCGCCAGCTAGATATACCTGCATGTCCGAGTTGATGTTCACTCTGAAGCTCAAACCTGGTACCGTTCGCTTCAAATGCTATCACGTTATTCACTTGGTTACTGAGTCCTGATAGCCACTTACTTATACAATAGCGTAAAGTTTAAATTCACTAGAATCTTCGCACTAATCAAATGCAGTCTTAAACATCAATGGAAACATTTAAGTAAATAATACTATATTTTACATTGTTTAAAATAAACATGTAGTTTTAACTTATTTTTATTTCAGTCAAATGATTCCTACTAACTCTTCATTAGGATTTTAGTTTCAAAATGTAAAAAAATTTAATAATGTTCAAAGTTGAAGTTCCATAAATATCATTTATTAAACCTTCGTTTAAAACCTCCTAAACGATACTTTTTTTAATTTATTCAAAATATGTCGTGGATTCGAATATCGCGAGGTGGAATCGTGAATTCACACTGCTGACGAGTCCCATACTAAAATGAAACAGCCATCCAATGCTTCCAGGTTTTTCATGGTGATCTAGCTTTAATCAAATGATTGACTGAACTATTAAATTACTAAAATATATTTATATTAAAAGTGAAATAGTCATTACTTTTGTGTATTAAATGTTAAAGATGAATCAATGTCTTGGGCAATAGTCACTTATTCTTAAAGTTCCAACATGAAGTAATAATAACGTTCAGCTTCAATTAACTACACCATTACGTTGCTTCATTTGAATTGTCATCTATATTAGTAATTTCATTTCAATTAAATATGTTTTACTCGTACTTATTGTCAGTATTTACCTATTACGTAATAACTTGTTTCTAGTCTTTTGGGCTTTTGTTACTATAAACTTTGTAGAATATCCTTTTACATACGCTATATGTGTATTTATAATATATCATTTAAACTATTACAATTATTTTCACCTTCTCTATACAATACTGATATGCGATCATAACAACTTTAAATTGAACTCTTTCATGTAAGTAACTGAAATCCATTTTATCGATATTACAAGTTGTAAACAATTAACAATAATATCAGATGAGTTTTGTGGATATTATAGTAATTTCAATGGTTAAGATCATGAGTCAGTTGAAGCTAGACCACTATGGAAAACCTTGAAGCACTGTACGGCCGTTTCTTCCTATTGTGGGACTCCTCAGCAGTGCACATCCACGACCTCGCCCCCCTGCGAGATTCGATTCCAGGACAATAACTAAACAAAATAAAATTT